GTAGATAGATAGATAGATAGATAGATAGATAGATAGATAGAGGGACTCTATCGATTTCGTTTGAAGTTGGTTGATTTCCCATTCATAATGCAGAAAGATATGCGTCAAATTTCCTGTAATTGTGACGTTGTTGAGACATTGGTAGGACGGGAAAGTCCAGGGAAATAGTGGAGATAACGAGAGATTGGAACCTTAGTGAGACTTGCTGAGGCGGGCTGGGGAAGCTGGCAAGAGCTACCGTTTCTTGATTTTGTCCCCCCTGTGGGTCGTGGTGCGGGATGGCTGGAAAAGATAGCTAGGTTTGTTTGTTGTTTGTTTGTGGATTTTTTACTTAGAAAGGTTTTGCAACTTTTCAGTGCCCTGTTTGTAGCTGTTTTTTCTTTGTTTTTGTTTTTTTATAAACAAATTTCCTAGCAGGAATCGATAATAGTGGTGTCTCATAAAATAGCCATTGAGAATTACTTGCTCACTTGAGAAGTGATTCATGTAACTATGGCTTAATTGCATTTCTTTTTTGATCTGTCCATCTATTTCTTTGTATTTCTTTTCATTTTTTGCGGGTCATCTTTGTTCCTCCATAAGATCAGGTTTCTCTGACATTATCCATTTGTGAGGCACCATGGGGAAATCAGGCGCTCGTCAGAATAATGAAATCAAAGAAATCGGTGTGAGGGGTTTTCCGATGGACAATTTTTTTCAGATTTTCTTTTTTTCGCTCAGAATTTTTTAATTTCCATTTAAAAAACAATTTTTGTTCTGGATTTTACTGATAATGTAAGGGGTGTGTGTGCTAAGAGGGGGAGGGGGGGTGCTACACCCCGAAAGTCCCGATCCTGCCCAAAACTAAGGATTTTAAGTTGTAGGCATTTATTTGCTTCTTCTGCTTCTCTTACAACTATTTCATCTTGTAAGATTCCCCTAAAGCCTTATTTCTTCCCATACCGGACATGTTTGTTACAACCATTTTTTCATAAAGTCAATCTTGTATTTTTCTTTATCGCCCGTTTTCTCCAAACATGGTTTTTCTATATACTTTTTTTTAGTAACTCCACCATTTTCATCCTATTTTCACAGAATAAAGAGAAGATGTAATACTAAAAATCTAT